GCTATGCCTTGGCGGGAGTAAGAAGGTTTCGTCAATAGGCTCCCCTCGATCGGGCGGCCTATAGTAGACACCAACCACAAGATTCCCTTTGTTGCCTCTATCTCTAATTCTTACCCATAAGCTTTCAACCTGCTCGTGGCTATTCTTCAGAGACAGCTCTTCACAATATATCCATTTGTTGATGTAGAGGGCAACCCCTCCACCCCTCCTTCCCCGCCTGTCCCTTCAGAACAGCCTGTAGCCAGCGATAGCTGCACTCCAGCCATGGGATGTGTCCCATCAAGTTTCAGTAATGGCAACTAGGTCACAGCCTTCTGGCAGCACGGTGGCTTCCAACTCCTCCCGTCTGTTGTCCGTGCTGCGTGCATTGGTGTAGAGGCACTTCAGGTGGGCTGTCGGCCGTGTCACCTTCTCAGAGGAACACCCCTCAACTCCTTTGAGGTATTTCCCTGCTGTTTCCCTGTTGGCTCCCATCACCTCAGGAGCCCCTGGCTCATCTCCGTAAGACTTCCAGTGTGCTGCAGTGTAGCCAGCATGTCTCAGAGCAGCGGGCTGAGGGCCCTTGCTAGCACCCCGTCCCTCTAACCTTGGTGTATCATCCCACAGCTGGTCACGGGCGAGCCCGATATTCTTCAGGCATCGCCTCGTGCAGCACATGAGCCATTTGGAAACAACTCATATGCTTCCTCTGTGAGAAACTGCTCCCTGAAGAAGATGGGCAGGAGATGCCAGCTTTTCTGTAGCCATACCAGGGACCGTTGTGTCCTTCTCCTTCCTTGCGTGCCACCAGCGTTTGTACCAACAGCAGGTTGGTCGACTGACTGTGGTGCTACCACAGCTCTGCTGGGACAGAGCTCCCCGTTACTGAGCCAGGACTCTGGGGTGGGAGCTGGGACGGCTGAGGCAGGAGGTGTCCACAGCCTGCTCCCATCAGGTCACTGCATCCCTCCAGCTGATGGTGAAGTTGTGCACATCCCCGCAAAGCAGATGATGCTGTTGCTGTTGCAGAGGTCCCAGCAGGCAGCACCAGCTGCGCTCTCCACCGAGGACGTGCAGCAGCAAGAAATCACACAGGGGATGCCAAATCTCTTTCAGCAAACCCAGAACTCAGAAATGGTGGCGGTGGTCTCTAACCCAAAGGCCTTGCAGGCTTGGTCACAGGTTGAGCAGGGTTTGCAGCTCACTGTGGGGGAAGCACCAGTCAATGCCATGGTTGATGCTTTGTTTGTGGGCTCTGGGCGATAGCAGAAACTCTGCAAATGTTGCAGGCACCAGCTCTGGGTCTGGCAAGTTGCGCCCACAGTATGAACAATGTCTGAGGAGGAACAACAGCATCTAAACATGCTGTAAATGCTGCATGTGGTTCCTGGGACAGTCTCCAATGCTCACAAGGTCCAGAAATCAAATTCCAGGAAGAACTGGAGCTAGTCAGGTCAATGACCCCCCTCAATGGGGAAGGAAGTGTAGAGTGGTTGGGAAATGCCACCCTTCTGATGCTCATCCCAGATTTATTTATCTCCTGACCCCTTAGAGGAGAGGCACTACCTAGGCATGCATTAATGCAGGCATCAGAAATAAATCTGGGCTGCAAATCAGAAGGAATTTCCCCACTGCTCGATAACGAGGTTGCTCTAGGTAATGCAGCAGCCTGGACTGAACTGCTCAGAGCTGGGTCCCCTCTGCAGGTCCCCCACGCCTGTGAGATCTCACGGCAGTGCTGACTCCAACGGGTCAGTGTTCCCCAGATCCACTGGTGTCCACAACAGAGCAGGAGGACTGTTCCTGTCTCTCGTGTCCATGCTCTGAGACTCACAAACAGCAAAAAGAGTGATCAAAACCACCATCACTGTATTTAGCCCTGTTTTTCCATCACTTGTCAGAGAACTGGAGCCAGAGCTGCAGCCAGCGGTGATGAGAGGGCTGTGGGGTCACCAAGCAGAGGGACGGGTGCCCTGTGCTACCGCTGCTGCACCCAGCAGGGAGAGGGGCTGTCGGTGGCAGTGATGGAGGGACGAATCTTGGGGGGAGGGAGCCAGCTGGCACCAGTGCACCAGCACGGGGGTGCGTGACAGGCTGTTTTGTCCAAACAAAAATTGCGGAGGAGATCTTTGTTATTGCAAACAAGCGTGCTGGGGCTTTGGAAGTGCACTTCTCTTGGCCTGCCATCTGGAAACAGAAACCGTACCACATCCTTTGGGGAGTTACCATGTGGCATGGTTAGCAGATATGAAATAAGCGCTCTGCAAATGGATCAGGAGATTTTTGATGAAAACTTTTGTAACTTAGAAAATGAATATCAACATCAAACAACCTGAAAGCTGTGAAAAAAGGCTAAAGAAATGAAGCTGTTGTTCTGGTATGCACCTGGATTTTCATACTGGCTCCAAAAAAGTTAGTCTTTGAATTTTGCAGATGAAGAAATTGAGCACCAGCCTGGGGACAGTGAAAACTTTTTCCAAGCATCACAGAAGCAAGAAGTAAAACATGGGATGCTAAGACAAATTTACCTCCTTTTGGCTTTGTTTTGAAACAAACACCAGCTTTCTCAGCCGGGTGAAGGAGAGATTTGTTCTGCTAATGGCGCTGGTGTGTGTTTGCTTTGTGAACGTGGAATTAAATGCTGTTAAAACAGCATCCACAAGGATGGTGCAAAGTGTATTGAACTTGCATAGCCTGTGACACGCTTAACCTGGGAACACCTGCACCGGGGCACTCTCGGGGATAAAACCAAGACAAGTTCCCAGTGCACTCGGTGGTGGTGGTGTTTCCCGGTTGAAAAGGTGAGGGTGCTCCTGGGCTCGGGCTGAAGGTGGAGGATATTTCCTCCTCTGGCAGCTGAGATCAGGGGTGTTGGGAAGGCGGCAGGCGCGGAGGCCGCGCTGCTAGCAGCCTGCCAGAGGAGAGGGCTGGCCCTAGGTGTGGGTGCGCAGGGCTGGCAGCAAAAACACAAAAGGAGCCTGTCGTGGTTTAACCCGGCAGGCAGCTGAACACCACACAGCCGCTCGCTCACTCCCCGCCCCCAGTGGGACGGGGAGAGAATCGGAAGGGCCCCACCCCCGGAGTGGGATGGGGGGGAAACAGGAGGAAAAAAAAAGTAAAATTCGTGGATTGAAATGAAGACAGTTTAATAGAACAGAAAAATAACAGTAACAATAACAATAACGATAACGATAGAACATAGAAAATGAGTGATGCACAAAGCAATTGCTCACCACCTGCTGACCGATAACCAAGTAGTGATCGCTACTTCCTGGAACACGCCTGCCATTCATATACTGAGCATGACGTCACATGGTATGGAATACCCCATTGGCCAGCTGGGCTAGCTGTCCTGACTATGCTCCCTCCCAATGCTTGTTTTTTGTTTGTTTTTTTTTCCTGTTTTGTTTTGGTTTTGTTTTTGTTTTTGTTTTTATGCTGAACGTCCTTGACTAGCAGGGTACTTAGCAACAAGTGAAAACATCAGTGTGTTATCAACATCCTTCTGATACTAAATCCAAAACACAGCACTAGGAAGAAATTTAACTCTATCCCAGCCGAAACCAGGACAGACCCAAAGGCTGGCGGGCATGGGATGCGAAGCTTCAGGGGGCTTTGCATCCCGAAGCAAAGCTGGCAGGAGCAGGGTGTGCACTGAAACAGGGGAGCAAGGTCCGTAGTGGAGAGGGTGGGTGCCTGGGAGCTTTGCAATGGGGTTGGTGATGCCAGTCTGCAAGCCGCCGCGTGCGGCGGTCGTCTCAAATGGAAATGGTCCCGGAGTCTCCCGAGCCCGGATTTTCCCATGTCGTGGTCCTCCCCGTGCCCCAGGGACTAGGTTGGCTGGGGACTGTGGTGGCAAGGAAGCCCGAGCTCAGCTCCAAGGGAGGTGTCCCCTCTCCAAGCCATTGTTCCTCACTCCGACATCAGCGGGGATGTCACAGCACAGGGGCGGCTGCACAGCAATTCGATGTGGGCAGGCGGTCACAGTGGGACAAGGCGTATAAGGGGGTTGCTGGGGTGCTGAGCGAGCAGAGCAGCTGTGCAACATCTGGCTGCTATATGCATTCGGTCTGCACTGCAGGGAGAGGCGGTCCTTGTCCCTGTGCCACTGCTCCCTCCTGGCAGCTGCCACCACAGCAGGGGCAACAGCCACCCCCCTGTTTCCTCTGGCAGCCATTGCCCCCTGTTGCTTCCCACCTTCTGCCAGCACCTCGGCTTTTTGAGGACCAAAGCGCAGTCCTGGTCTCAGAGCCACCATGTCCGAAAGCAAAGAGGCAGCGGAGACTAGTCAACCTGTTGTCACCACGGATTCCTCAAATATCATCAAAGTGACTGTGAAGACCCTCAAGAAGAAGGAGCAGTTTGAGGTTGCTCAGAGCAGCACCATCCAGGAGTTTAAGGAAGAAGTTGCCAAGCGTTTCAAAGTTCCCCCTGATCTTCTGGTCCTGGTATTTGCTGGGAAAGTCCTCAAGGATCAAGACACTTTGAGCCAGCACGGAGTTCGCAGTGGGGTCAGCATCCACGCAGTCATCAGGTCCCAAAAGAGACCACAGGATGGCCCGGCAGATCAAGGAAGAGCGACCACCCCGACGCGACCTCCCAGCCACGGCAATTGCGACTCATTCGACTCGGGAAGCGTAGCTGATCTGCAGAACCCATGCTTGATCCATCATAACTTGTCTGAGCTGTTGACCTCCAGCCGGGAAATAGCGGCCCAGACCATGGAGAACCTCTTGTCTAGGATCCGCAGTTCAGGCCTGGATCTGAACACCATCAACAACAACGCATTTTTGGTAGGGTTCCTCCTTGGGGTCACAAGTGTACATCTCCTAGGCCTGGACTCAACAGACCTGTTGGACTTGGTGAGTGGCATTCAAGAACAAGATGCATCCATGCACAGCTTGATGGGCGAGATGGTGCAGAGCACCTTTCTGCAGAACAACGATGACGATGCCCACCTTGTCAGGGATCTCATCATGTCCAACCCTCAGCTGCGGCAGCTGGCTGAAGACAATCCCGAGATCGGTCAGATTCTCACTGACCCACATACTATCAGAGAAATATTAGAGGCCTCCTCCAGAAGTCCTGCTGTAATGCAAGAGATGATGAGGAACCGCGACGTGGCCATGAAAAGGCTCGAAAGCATCCCCGGTGGGTACAGAGCTCTGGAGCAGTGCTATAGGGAAATTGAGGAGCCCATGTTGGAAGCTCTGCAGGCACAGCTGGGCAACAACCCCTTTGCTTCCTCAGACAGTGACCCACCCCCGAGTGGAGCCAGGCTACCAGCCCGTACTGAAAACCGGAGGCCTTTACCCAACCCTTGGGCTCCGCGGTCCCACAGAGTCAGGGATAACGCAGATGACTCTGATGGCCAACTGGCCAGCAGCAGCGCAGGCAACAGTTTTGCCTTGCTGAGTTTGGGTCTTGCAGCAGGCGCAGTGGTACCCAACTCAGGTAGCAGCTAAGAGGGTACCCAGAACTCATGCACAACCTGGCGAGAGCGTTAACAAACCCCAACGGCCCAGTACAAATGCTGTTGAACAGCACTCATACATCAAGCAACGGAAATTCTCCACCTCAAGATCAACGGCCACAGCAGCTGCCACCAGAGATGGAGAACGCTGAGATTTCATCCTTGCCGAGAAACCCCAGAGCACGGCAGACGTTGCTACAGATCCAGCTGGGATTAGAGACCCTCTCAACAGAAGTACCAGATGTCACACTTAGTTTGGGGGACTCACAGGTGGAGCTGGAAAGCATGGAGGACTCGGCAGAAAGCAGTAATTCTGAGGATGGTGTAATTTTGGTGTCAGGCGAGGACGAAGCAGAAGGTCAGATGGAGATGGATGAGGAGGCGCCACAGACCAGATTTCAGAGGCAAATGGAGCAGCTCAGTGCCATGGGCTTCCAGGACCAAAGCGCAAACTTGCAGGCACTGATCGAGGCAGAAGGAGACATCAATGCAGCAGTGGAGATCCTGGCAAAAGCACCATCATCAAAGAAGATACTGTAACTGGTTTGTCCAAATGAGCCAGTTAGAGTACCTCATTTGTGGATGGTTGTATTAAAAGCAGCAGGGTGCGTGTTAAGAAGTTGTGTGCTGTAGCATTCTCCCATCTATGAGAACTAATTTCCTGCCTTTTTTTAAAATCTGGCCCCACGGAAGAGAGGCAGGGAGTACCTGAGCCATCTAATTCCTGTCACTGCGGACATCAGCCTTTCCTCAACTGAGCAAACGCTGCTTTGAAAGTCAGTCTGTCATTTCTGCCACTGCTTCCCTTACGGGCGTGAAGCCCATGAGGGTGGCAGTAACCATCAGTGACGGCTGCAAGTCACCCACCTGTCGTTGCACGGAAGTTTTTAGTTTCATGCACCAGTTCAGAGCGGCTCCCATCAGCAAATCCTCAACCCTTTGTGCTTTGCTCAGTGTCACACATGGGGCCAGAGATTAAGGCGTCTTTTCCAGACCCTTCCTCCGGACCAGAGCTGAATGGCTCTGCAAGTCTCGTCCCCTTTGCTTTACTGTGTGTGAGTCTGGGGTTGTGCCGTACGGAGCCATGGTGCTCTTCAAAGCCTTGTCTCCGTAACACAAGCTGTGATGAACTGACTGGGAGCTTCAGGCATTCCAGGTTTGCTGCTGCAGACCTGCCCACAATGTCTCAAAACCACGTCCGGGCCAGCCCTGCTGCTGCTGCAGGGGAGATGGAGCGGCTGGGGCTGGCTGTGCTGCTCTGGACCTTCTTGCCTTCTCCCAGCCCTGCCTGGTGTGAACAAGGTCAGGATCAGCCCAGACTCCTTTCCTTTGGCCCCTCTGTCCAGTGTTCCACCAGTCCCGTCACATCCCTCCCTTTCTGCTCCTCACCCGTCCCCCCTGCCCTGCCACCCGAACTCTGAGTCTCCTTCTCCCTGCTCTGGCTTTCCCACTCTTCTGCAAGCATTGTCTCTCCCAGCATCCTTCCCTGAGAATATGTCCAGTGAGAGGTGGTTTTCCACCTGTTTCTTTCACCTCCTCCTCCACCTGCCCCATTTATGGTTCTTCTTACACCATTCTCCTTACGCCAAATTCAGACCTTCTGTGTCTTCCCTCTCCTTGCTATTTTGCGTCTTGTTCCTTCTTTCTCCCCACACCCTCTTTTTTCACCTTCCTGGAGGTGATTGGAGGATTGGTCGTGGGGAGATGGTCAATAGACTCTGCAAATGGATCACGAGATTTTTGAAGGCAGGGGTGGTCACTGACTGACCTGGGAACTGGGGGCAGTGTCCAGTCATTCATCCAAGGAGGGCTCTTAAGCCCCAAACTCTTTCTCCTTCCTAGAGGAGCACAGCCCACAGATTGCTTCTCTCATTGCTATGGGGAAACTCTTCCAAATTCCCTTTATTTAATTAATTACCAAATGTTATGTATCACGCTCAATAACCTATTCAAAACATGGATTGCTATTTATACGTATGTGCTAAAATATTTGCAAAAGTAGTCGAGTTTGCGCGTCTGAATGCTCGGCACTTTTGATAAGTCAGACCGCTTTTTTAGGACTCATCGCGCCTGTTTTTCCAAAGTTTGACTGTGTGTTGCCGCAATGCGCAGCCACATGATGTCAGTCCAACCAGGGCCCCAAGGAGAGGAGATGCAGTGCAGCGCAGGTATAATTGTGCGCTTGGTGGGAAGGGAGGCAGGGCAGGCACAGAGCCACCGCTCAGGGACCTGCGAGCGTGTCTGCAGAGAGCAACACGCTCACGATGTGTGTGGTGCAAGGTGGGGCTGGAGGAGCGGGGGGACGACATCCCGGGGCACGTCTCCTCAGCTGGAGGGCACTTACGGAGCTGCTGAGCAGGGCACAGAGCTTCCTCTGTCCTCTGGGATCCTGCAGAGAGGTACAAGTGCCCCCACCGCCCCGGCTCCGCCACTGCAGCCCCTGCCCGGAGCCCAGCCAGGGACCCGCCTTCCTCTTAAGGTCAGGGATCTGGTGAGCTGTTTGCATTGTGGATTTGGGGCCAGAAGGATCTCTAGGATGCTGAGAGTCTGGTGCAGAGATGCCAAATTCCCGATTAAGAGTAATCATGTGAAGAGCCTACCTGTCAGATCAGCCACTCTCTACCTGAGATTATGTGTTTTTGAGAGCTGAGGTTGCTGAGTTAAAGATGACAGGGCAGCATGAGCAGGCAGGATAAACCACTCGGGGTAATGTACACGAAGGCAGTGCCAGCACGGACTGCCCTGGCGGTGCCCGCAGCTCGCCGGGGCCAGCTGCAGCATCCCTCATCTTGCTCCCGTGGGAGAGCTGCCGACGTGCTCAGGCGTGCAAGAGAATACTTCCATTATTTTCATTCTCTTGTAAGGAGACAATGAACCACCAAGGAAACCTTTCTCTCCCACCCTGTTTTTGTTTCCCTAACCTCCCTGCTGAAGGCTGATTTTTTGTGGGGCAGGCTGCCCCACGGACGGCAGCAAGGGGGGCTCCATCCCCTCTCCCTCCGCAGCACCGGGAAGCCGCATCCTCGACCCTTGTGCTGGGTGCTGGGGACGTGCAGGGCAAACCAGAGGTGCACGCAGCTAAAGCCTTCTGCAGTGATGCCAACAGACTTCTGCAGACCTTTTTGTAATCCTTAGGCAGCTCTGTAGGAATGTGATTTTTTCTAGGTTATAGCTTTTAATTTAAAAAAGGATTAAAAGATTTTAGGAAAGAAGAATCCAAGGGACTGCTCAGGGGTAGCTGTAGGAGATGCATCCTTAGAGCTGTATCTGATTAATATAGTTTTACAGTGGTGATTAGATTATGGAGGACAGGGTCTAATGCTGAGAGGCTCCTCTGATGCAGAGCTCCTGGTTGCACTGAAGTTCCCACCTGCAGGTGCGGTGGACCCTTGTTTATTTGCAGTTTAACATTTGCGCTTTGCAAGAGATGACTAGCTTTTGGTATGGCAGCACAGAATATATATGCTATCAGCATTAATAATATTTTGTCTGTTAATCCATCACATATCTTTTATTTCATGCAATATTTATACTGAATTGTTTTAAATAATTTACAGAATTCGATAGTTATTATTTTGGCTAATTTTATTTTTAAAGACAGTCCACTGTCATGTTTTGTTTCTATGGAGCAGGTTCCTTGGACTTTCTTGATTCAGGATATTTTAGACACGAAATGTGTCTCTCTCACTGAGTGGGAGCAGGAAATCAAATCTGTTGTTTAAAATACAATTGCTTTCTCACACATGGAGTCAATATTTTGGTATGCAGCAACCTCACAGTTTTGTTTTTAAGTACTCGCATCACTTTCTCATCTAGGCAGCATTATGGGTAATTCCTATTTTGAGTTTTGATATTTAAGATCTGACTGTTATTGCAGAAGCTGCTGGAAAAAAGTCACAACCCTTTTTAACTTGTGTGAGTCTGGGTCTGATCCATCCTCCAGTGCTCTTTAGACCGCTCCAGGGCAGCAGTGCATCCCTTTCTCTGGCTGGTGGGGGAACTCCATCTCACACAGGTTTTCCCCTGACACAAAGGTCTTTCCAAATGCCCAGTTAAATTTTATTTCTGCTAGATTTGCACTGAAAAAGAGGTGCAAAGCAAGCTGAACTGGGTCCCAGAACCAAAAGGAAAGGGAGAGAGAAGTTCGGAGATAAGGAAGGAACATGAGCAGCCAACTTCAAACCTAGAGCTAATTTTGTTCTCTAACCTGGTGTGAATCCAGGTACCTTAAAACTCCCAATTATCCCCTCTGCAGTTCCTGATTTTCCTGCAAACACTTGACCTTTCCTCTCTCATTGCCTGACTTCTTCCTTCTACTCTGGACTTACAGAACATCATTTTAAGGTATTTGTGCAGTAAGGGTTGATTCTGCCTCCATTCACTCCGGTCTAAGTGCAAGTACTTGGAAGAAAAATGCACTTACATCGTGTTAAAATCAAGTGAGGAGAAAATTTGCACATTGGAGTGTAAGTACATGCTGCAATACTTTGCAGACCATGGATCTTCATAATTCGGGTTCATACCTCTGGCTGTGGCTATTAGCAGATCAGAGAAGGTGATACAAGGCATTTGGTAGTGACGGAAGAGCTTAAGCATCTAAAATAATGTTTTGCAGTGTCTTCTGCCTTTGCTTTCAGGTGAAACATGCCACCATTCAACCTTACCAGCTTGACGCCAGCAACATTCATCCTGGCTGGCATCCCAGGCATGGAGAAGTTGCACATCTGGATCTCAATCCCATTCTGCTTCATGTATCTGGTGGCCCTGCTAGGAAACGGTGCCGTGTTGTTTGTCATAAGGACAGAAGGTAGCCTCCACGAGCCCATGTACTTCTTCCTGTCCATGCTGGCCATTGCTGACCTGATACTGTCGACCACAACTCTGCCCAAGATGCTGGCTCTGTTCTGGTTCAACGCCGGGGAGATTTCCTTTGGTGCCTGCCTGACCCAGATGTTCTTCCTGCATTTCAGCAGCTCGGCAGAGTCGATGATC